GCCAGCCAGCCGGCCAGCCAGCCCAGCCTGGAGGAGGCGATGCATTTCCAAAGCGCGGAAGCCGCACGACCAAACGCCGCGCCGAGTCATCGCAAATCCGACACTCACAAAAACGGAACGGCAAACGCGAAGAATTAAAACGAGTCGAGCCTATTGGAAAGTCATTTGCGCGAGAAACCCACCAGCCCCGGCCGACGGGCCGACGGTGGGCCACCCAGCTGCACCCGACCTGGCCAGCCCGCCACGCCACGCCACGTCCCGCCACGCGTTGGATGCCGCGCAATCAATCAGCTTGCTCGCGCCCCGCCCGCCTTGGCCCGCCCAGCCGCACGGGAGCCAGTATCGTCACGGTCTCCCACACCCACACCACGCGGACAGCGACTCGAGAAAGAAATCGACCAACAAAAACAATAAAAACGACACTCTGCTCGGTTATCGCCCAGCCAATTATTTGCTATCACCATCGCCAAGACACATTGCGGCTGGTTGGCCGGACTACGGCGCGCTCCGCCGCCTGTACGGCACACAGAGGGCGCGCCGCCACAGCCGCCACTTTCACCTGTCAGCCGGCGGGCCTGCACTGCGAGGCACTGCGAGGCCTGGACAAGAGCGCCGCGGGCGGCGCGGCGTCGTCGCGCTGCAGCGTCGCCGGAAGGGCATTCGGACGACGCACTTTTCCCGCCACCAGCTGCGGCACCTGTCACGGCCAGCGTTGAGGCGAGGCAGGCACAACCCTCGACACAGTGGGCCAGAAGACCGGCGGAGGCGGCCAAAACTGTAAACGCGTTTTGAGCTCCAGAGTCGCAAAATTGGACTCGAACCAGACGTGTGACCCCACCGATGAATTGCTCTCCGAACGAGGAATCCATTGGTAGGGTCACACGTTCGGTTCGAGTCCTGCCTTGCGACTCCAGGAGCCCAAAACGCGTCTGGAGTTTTGGCCGCCTCCACCGGTCGTCTGGCCCACTGTGCGCCCGTCGATACCCGGCGCACAAGAGAAGCGCCCGCGGGGCGGGTATTAAATGTCGCTCGGACGCGGGGTACCGCCACCGCCGTTCCGCCAGGACGACTAATGGCGCTCCCAAGTCCCGAGGGCTCATTGCAGAGTGGGGCAGTAAGGGCCGGAAACTGCAGCACCTGTGCCCCGCCCCGCCCCGCCCCGCCCGTCCTGCCAGCCGGCGATGCGTGCAGCGCTTGCTTCCGCGCCGTGGGCAAGCAAGCCTTGTCTTGTCGGCCACCGCGGCACTGCAGCGCGCTGCCAAAGGCAAGCGTCAGTTTCAACTTCCTTCTCCACTACTCGGCGTGTCCGCTGCCCGGCCGCCCGCCCTGGCCGCCTTGCCCAACAGCGACAGCGCGTCGCGCGTCCCGCCATTGTTGTCCGTGACACAACGCCGCGACACCGGCGTGGCGTGGCGCCGTCACGCGCGGCCGTGCGTGCATCTCCTTCTTCTTCTTCTCCATCGTCATCATCATCCTCCAGGTCCACCAGGTCCACCCTCGAGCCGCCGAGGTTTTCTGGTCCCGCCCCTGCCGGCCCGCCAGACCTGCCGGTCGCCGTCCTCCTGGCGGCCATGGCAGCCCCGGCAGCCTCGGCCGGTCGCGGGAAACAGGAAAAGCGGGAACCAGCCACGCGGCCGGTCCGCTTCTCCTCGCCCTCCCTCCCTTCCCCCTCCATCTCTCCCATTCTCTTTCTCTCTCACACACGGGCTCGGCGCTCGGCTCGTAAGCTGAATCGCGCACTTATCAGCAGCGATAAAGTCCCGGGGGTGGCGCGGCGCGGCGGCGCAGCAGCGGAATGTGGCGCCGTGCCACGCCCCCCGCCAGGCGGGGCGGGGCGGGGCGGGGCGGGGCGGGGCGGGTGCCTCCGCCGCCAGGACGTCCACGTCGAGGAAGCGGAGCGGGCACCGCCGTCCGGAAGCAGCCAAATAACTCAAATCCGCATCGCGATGGCGCAGTACAGCGGCGCGGCCGACGTCCACGCCGCGTCGCCGCGGCGCGCTGGACCAATTTCCAGGCCGCGCCGCCTTGGAGAGCCAGCAGACTGATTCCGAGTCTCTGTCTCTCTCGCACCTTACGGGACACCCAACGAGTGCGAGAGAGACAGAGCGACGCTCCGGGACGCAGGTCGCCGACGAACGCGGTTCTCGGAAACGAGATAGCAGCAGACAGACAGACAGATGGCTTTACCCAGCAGTATGACTTATCGTCAAAGAACACACACTCGCGCGCTCACACACACATACTCGCACACTCACACGGAGGCAGTAAAGCTGCGCAAACAGGATCACCGGCTCGCCTTCCCTGAACTTCCCCGGCAGCGTACACGGCGGGAAGGGCTGAGCCGCGCGCCGCGCCCGGGAAGGAGAAGAAAGCCCCCAAAGACGACGGCTTCCCCCGCCGCGTCACCGCGTCCAACTGCTGCAGACTGATTCCGAGAGTCGTTTTCGTCGCTCTGTCTCTATCACACTCGTGGGGCGCCCCGTGTGCGTGGGAGAGAGACAGAGCGACGAAAACGACTCTCGGAATCAGTCGAGTATTGCTTGCTCCGCCCCTGCCCCGGTCGCGACGTCGCCGCCCCGGCCGCCCCACCAGTAAATCCCTCCTGCGAAAACGCAGGCAGCAGGTCCCGTGACCTTTCGGAGGATGTCGCGCCATCCCCACCCCGGCCACCTCGCCCCGCCCCGCCCCGCCCCGCCACGCCCCAGCCACGAGGAGCGATTCAAGACAGGTAGCCCGACAAGGGATTCCCAGACACCCCCGCCCGGCCAACCCTCCCTCCAGTCCTGCTGCCTCCGACGCTCCAGGAATCTCCCCCCCCTCCACCCCCGCCCACGCCCGGCCGAACAATCGCAGCGAACCCCGAAAAAAAAAGAGGGGGAGAGAATAAAACGACCGTCATTTCTGCCAACGAAGATTACAGGCTCGCAAAAATTGGAAACCGATCCATGGGCACACACGGCGTGTGTGAGTTGAGGAAAATTGGCAGAGACACGGACGACCCCGCGGGCGGCGCCGTGGCGCGGACCCGGCCGCCCAGGGCCAGGGCCGCCAGGGCACGGGTACTCGGCCCCGTCTGTCTGTCCGTCCGCTCGCCAATCTCTGCGTCCGACCGCCCGTACAGTACGTGCGGCCGCGCGGCCCGCCACGGCCAGCACAACATGGCGAGGAGCAGCTCGATGAGCCAGCGAGCAAATCTCAAGGACACGGCGAGGAGGAGCGAGCGAGACGCCTGCACTGCCAAGCCGGGGCGCTCCACTGGACGCTCCGGGCTCCAGCGGCAACGCCGGCAACGCCCCGCCACCACGAGCTGGCTGCCCACCGACAGCACCGTGATTCCTCTGTCTCTCTCGCACCCACGCGGAACGCCCCACGAGTGCGAGAGAGACGGAGCGACGCGGGCGTCGATGTTCGGGCCGCCAGCAGACGACAAGGCGGGAAAGTCCGCACGCAGCACGCAGGTGCAAGTCGTCGACGCCTCCGCAATCGGCGCGGACTCGGCACGGAGGAGGGGGGGGGGGAGTCGATCGGGAGCAACAGGGGAGAGGAGTGTGGGGTGGGGAACGAAGGGACAGAATCATGCCTTGGATGACGCCTTCAGATACCGATACCACCGCCTGGATTCGTCTAGGGTAGCTTCCACAGTGTGGGTTGGGGTGCAGCCACTATATCAGAGCAGTGACCCCAACCTGCTCCCAGTCATCAAAGTCATCGGGAGGAGAGGAGTGTGGGGCCTGTGGGGTGGGGAACGAAGGGATGGAATCATGCCTAGGATAATGCCCTCAGATACCACCGCCTGGATTTGTCTAGGGTAGCCCCACAGTGTGGGTTGGGATGCAGTCGCTATCAAAGCGCCAACACCAACCTGCTCCCAGCCATCGTATCGGAGACTCATCTCAAGGATCACAGATGCCGCCAAAACAACCACAAGGATTACACACCATATTATAACTAAACCAAATCAAAACCCTTCAACATGAATAAGTAACTGAGCATTTGAAGAGTCAAACTGTAGAGTAATCAGTCAACAATCATTACATGTACACATAAAATAGAAAATTTGGAGGTTGGAGACCTGAATGCATGAGTATGTCAGAAATCTAGGAAGCCAAGCATTAAAGGCTACATTTTGAAAACGTTAAAATAAATTTACGGAGACAAGTGCACTAGCTACAAGATTTAAATAATTGAATCCACCCATCTTGTGACAATGATGACCGATAAAGCACAATGAATATTTACTCCTAAAGATAAGCTCGAAACACATTTCATAAATTCTCCTCTTAATATGATAATAATGAGGATGTAAGAATTAAAAAGCAGCAATTTTAAACTACTTAGAAAGATAAATTACAAATTAAAATTGCTCACAAATTGGTTAAAAAACATGACTAGACCTATACTAGAGGCCACTCAACAGGTGGCCTCAACTCATATTTCGCCCACTATCCATTTATTTAAATACCTTGCGAAACATTTACTAACTAGATTAATACGAAATTAAATGAAGACCCCTAACACCTTGACTTCAACTTTCGGATTCATTTCTATCCAGAGCAGCTCGTCCTCACACTCACAACACTCCTCCAATCACAGCAAAACAAAAACAAACCGGCATAACCTCACTGATCCAACAGGTCGATTCTGACGGCCGGACGGCCACGAACTCCAATTTTGGCACAATTCCATCCCAGCCAACGAGACAAATGCAAACGCTGGCGGACGATATGCGAGCAAAACTGGAGGAATCTCAGGTAGTCCTCCGGAGCACCGCCATCTTCCTTCGCTTCGCATCCAGGGCTCCACTCACGGCATCCGTTGCCAACATCTCCCGACAACATCTGGACTCGGCACTGATTACATATTTCTCACTCGACTCGAGTCCAAAACTCACTCACAGCACGTCGCGCAAACAGAACAATTCGACAATTTACATTCGTCTTGGGTTTTGTCACTGGCTTCGGGAGAAACACATGTCGAACGGATCCACCTGGACACTTACTTTTAAAACGCAGGTATGTGCACCTCTTGAGGATTCTTGTGGATGGTCGTTGTACCGCGGCACACACAATCACTTTTCACTTCCACCACCAAAGAACACTCATGGTGAACACTGACCACAGCACACACTTAAGTCACAGTAAACTTGTTGCAGCGACTGCGAAAAACTTCCATGTTTAGTCTGAGACGGCGAGGTAAATGAACGGGCGAAACGCGGACGCTACGCTCACGATGGCATGGACCGGCGCACGAACACTGCTCACGGCGTCTGACCACCGACTGGTCGGGAAACTGCTTCGGCCGCTCGCCGCGCGCATGCGCCGCGCATTCCAAAGAACGTGGCGCGCAGACACTCCACTCGCCCGGCGGCGTCAAGCGCGCGCACTATGAAACGGCCGCACAGTGGGCCAGAAGACCGGTGGAGGCGGTCAAAATCCCGGACGCGTTTTGAGCTCCAGAGACGCTAAATGGGACTCGAACCGAACGTGTGATCCAACCAATGGATTGCTCTCCGAACGAGGAATCAATGGGTGGGGTCACACGTTCGGTTCGAGGCCCATTTAGCGACTCTGGAGCTCAAAACGCGTCTAGAATTATAGCCGCCTCCACCTGTCTTCTGGCCCACTGTGGGCCCCGAGAAAAGGGAGGGAAATTAACTTTTCCGCTCATGAAATCGAAAATTGCGTGGTGCAACTCAACCGTGAATTTCAGCAGCTCTTCACGTTTTAATTTTGTTTGCAGATTAACGACGTACAGGTAAAAGCAGAACAGAACGATGAGATCGACCAGTAAAACGATCACCCCTTAAAATGTGGAACGGCGGACTTGCATTTGAAAAAGTTAAATATTGAATGACTTGAGTGGTTTGAACGTTCAGGTCTGTGCGGGCGTGGCGGCCCTCTCGTCAGCAGTATCGCCGCGCGTGGAGTAGCGCCACAGCGTGGGGTACGGACGACGCGCCGGAGTCGCGCAGGGTATCGCCGCTCGCAGTTCCGGGCGTCGCCGCTAGATGGCGCTGCGCGACGCGTGCAACGTGCTGCCGAGGGAAAGGGGACGGGGGCACAGTGGGCCAGAAGACGGTGTCTTAAACTCTAGACGCGTTTTGAGCTCCAGAGTCCAGAGCTCCAATCAAACGTGTGACCCCACCAATGGATTCCTCGTTCGGAGAGTCTCATTTGGCGACTCAGGAGCGAAAACAAAACCCGCGTGGGACTATGACCGCCTCCATCGGCCTAGGGCCTGTAGGGTCTCGATGTGTGGCAAGGGAGAAAGGCGCCCTTCTGCCATGAGATGATGACAAGCTAGCCATCCATCGTCCAACGGCCGAAAAGCTGCTGGCATGGGTCGGGTCGGCAGTCAGCAGAGCGGCCACAGTTTTCGTATTTTGCGACAAAATGTTTTCCCACCTTAGCAGGCGAGGAGAATGAAATGCTAGGAATAAGTAGGAGGACTGGATGGGGAGTAAGCAGATAAAAAGGCACCCAGGAGGCTCCTGGACTCGAACGCCTCCGAGGGAGCGAGCAACCGAATTGGCACACCCTGCAGACTGATTCCGAGAGTCGTATTCGTCGTTTTGTCCCTCTCGCACCCATAAGGGACGCCCCATGAGTGCGAGAGAGACGGAGCGACGAGAACGACTCTCGGAATCAGTCTGCTGATTGGCCGAAGGCGGAAGGGCTCGGCACCGCGAGGCTGCGAGGCTGTGAGGGCGCGGCGAGGCGCGAGGGTCGATCCAACACATTCTTATTCACCTGCCTTACATTTTTTCGGGCTGCCGAGCGGCGAGGGACGCGGCGCACAGTGGGCCAGAAGACCGGCGGAGGCGGCCAAAACTCCGGACGCGTTTTGAGCTCCAGAGTCGCTAAATGGGACTCGAACCGAACGTGTGACCCCACCAATGGACTGCTCTCCGAACGAGGAATCCGTTGGTGGGGTCACACGTTCGGTTCGGGTCCCACTTAGCGACTCTGGAGCTCAAAACGCGTCTGGCGTTTTGGCCGCCTCCGCTGGACTTCTGGCCCACTGTGCGGCGGCGCGCGGAACATGAACGCGGGGCGGTTTGCTGATTTGCAGGACGATCGGAAATGAAATTCGGGTGAGAATTTGCACAGCGAATTCGGGCCGCGCGCGGCAGGGCCGGCAGTGCCGGCAGGGCCTCGCCAGCAGACTGATTCGGCGCGTCGGTTTGCCCCTCTCACACTGGCGGGGCGCCTCGCTTGTGTGCGAGAGAGACAGTGTGTGGAATCGCAGTCTTTAGGCCACCGCCACACTGCCGGGGCGGGCCTGGCTGGCTAAGCTCGTCTAATCTATCGGCCCGACACGTCGCGGCCGCAGCAACTTTTTCTTTCTCTCCCCGCGTGTCACTGCGGGGACACTGGACGGCAGCAGTCGCTCTGTCTCTCTCGCACCCTCACGGGGCGCCCATGAGTGCGAGAGAGATGGAGCGACGAAAGCGACTCTCGGAATGAGTGTTCGGTGTCGCCCTGGGCGAGCCGTTCTGGTGTCTCTCTGCGTGCGGCGCGCGTGGCCGGACTGCAAGCAGGCAGACTGGCGCTAGACCGGCGGGGGCGGGCCGTGGGCGCTAGCACCAAAAAACTGACCGTCAACTCAAGTCTGTTTCTGACGCCACCAACAGGACTTTGCGAAAATTTGAATGTTGAGGAATCGACACTCTTCGAGGTTGTCTCGTCCGGTCCCGTCGCACAGTGGGCCAGAAGACCGGTGGAGGCGGGCAAAACTCTAGACGCGTTTGCTCCAGAGTCGCTAAATGGGACGCGAACCAGGCGTGTTACCCCCACCAATGCTTTCCTCGTTCCGAGAGCAATTCATTGGTGGGGTCACACGCTCGGTTCGAGTCCCATTTAGCGACTCTGGAGCTCAAAACGCGTCCGGGATTTTGACCGCCTCCACCGGTCTTCTGGCCCACTGGGCTGCCGTTTCATAGTGCGCGCGTCTGTCTCTCTCGCTCCCCGGGGGTGTCCCATAGGGGTGCGAGAGAGGCGGACCGACGAAACGCTGGGGCTTGGGGCCCGGAGGCCTGGTGCCCGGAACCGCTCAGTCAGCTGCGGCGGAGTCCATCCGGATGGAGTGGCAAGTGGTGTGGTGCCAGGGGCAGCCTCGGGCGGCCAGGGCGCATCCGGGACACTGTCTGTCTGTCTGTCTGTCTGTCTGTCTGTCTGTCTGTCTGTCTGTCTGTCTGTCTGTCTGTCTGTCTGTCTGTCTGTCTGTGTGTCTACAGTAAAACCTAGTGAGTAGAACTCCACATTCTTTGTGTGGAGTAATTCTCCGCAGAGTCAAGCAGTCTCCACATTTCCAGTTTGGAGTAGCGCACAGAAGAGCCCCTATTTGGCATATGAAGGGTGTGCGAACGTGGAGAACGCTACACTCGAAGCGTGGAGGATGCAAACTCTGCACTTCCAGTCGTGGAGACCGAAAATTCACCATGAACTCACGTCAAGTGTGGAGTTCTCTACGCTCGGTTTCGCGTAGTGTATCGGTCTGTCGGTCTATCTTTGGCTCTGTCTCCGTCGCGTCGCCCGCCGCCCCAGCGTACGTGCGAGCGCGATAGCGCACTACTTGAGGGCGGCGAGGGGCTCAGCCGGGCTCCACATGGTGAACACGTCCCCGGACAGGGAAGGACGTCCGCGCTGGAAACAGGATGTCCAGCGAACGTTGTCCAGTAGGTCCTTCCAGTGGAGGCGAGGTCCCTGCGGAGGGAATGAGCAATGAGCGCCTGGAGGGGCTGGAGGCTCCAGTGGGCGCCGGCACTCCAGCAGCAGGGCAGCAGACTGATTCCGAGAGTCGTTTTCGTCGCGCCGTCTTACACGGGACGCCCCATGAGTGCGAGAGAGACGGAGCGACGAAAACGACTCTCGGAATCGGTCTGCAGGCTTGGGGCAGGCCGCAGCGCAGCAGGCTCCGGGGCCACTTGAGGCGACCGACGACCGGCACACCGGAAGAAAAGGGGACGGAAAAAGTCTGGTCGACAATCTGCATGGACCACGGAACATCCCCTACTCCATTCTTCTGTACATTTACGTTACCAAAATACATAGGAAAATTGTAACAGTGCATGCGGCGTCTCTGCCACATTCGCGGAGGTTCGACCATCCCAAAGAAATAATAAACGTTTAAATTTGATACTTCTACAGGCGTTTGTTTGTGGGGGTGGGGGGTGAGGGGTGCGATCTTTGGAAAAGTGTAAGGCTCCATTATTTCCATTGATGAGTTTCCGATAGTTTTCGACAAGTTACGTATTGAACTTTTCGACAAATAAGGGAACCTTCGAAAACTCCCAACGGAGCTTCAGAGGGAAGTTTTTCGGCATTTCGAAATTAATTTTCAACAGTGTTTTAAAATTAGGAGCCATTGAGCGGGATCACCACGTGTTGCGCCTCGGCGCGAAGGGATTTGCGGAAAGGGGCAGCGCCCGGCAGCGCCGCAAAGGCGTTTCCGCCCCGCGGCCGCGCAGACTCATTCCGAGAGTCGTCGCTCTGTCTCTCTCGCACTCATGGGGCGTCCCTTGAAGGAGCGAGAGAGACAGAGCGACGAAAACGGCCCTCCCTCAGTCCACTGCCTCGCACCACGGCAGCGCCGCGCACAGGTCAGCTGCGTCGGAGCCTTCCCTCCCCGAACACGGTACACGGGGTACAAATCCTTGCAAACAGACCCAAATCTTATTAATGGGCGAGAAGCAATTTTCAGGTCCCGTGCGCAAACACGGGCAGCGCGCCTCGCGTAAGCGCCGCCCAGCAGGGGGAGGGGAGGGGACGAAAGAGTGAAACAGCAGTGGACCCTGTCCCAGCCGCCCACCCCGGCGGCGCAAAGAGGATCAAGTTTCAAAAATCCCGCGCTCTGATTATTACAAGCGGCGCCGACCAGGTGGGTGGGGGAGGGGGAGGGGGCGTTAATACCGTGTTCAGCCCTGCTGTGGCGGCAGGCCACGCGGTGACACGGAAAACAAACCTTTGCTGCGAGTGCGGATTTCATTTTACATTATCGTTTAGCGTCGAACAAAAGTAAGGTACACGGTAAAAACGATACCTGGTTTTCCCAGGAAGCCTATGGTAGAGACATAGGCGATTTCCAGGGAGTTCCTGGGAAAACCAGGAACCGTTTTTACCGTGTAAATTCTAAAAAAAATAATTTATTTTCTAAAAAAATTCAAATTTAATTGAAATTTGAAGGCTGCATAAATCTGCGACGATAATTTTTCCGACAAAGTCTCTCCGCATTTTTCATGTCATTGTTTTGAATGTGGTGACGGCAAGT